GAATAGAAGCAAAAGACCATTAACTCTCAGTCTATTAAAATAATGAGCAAAGTTTTTCAGATATCAGGACTGAATCATAGCAGTGGAGGAAAATGCATTCTTCCTCTTTACCTCCTTGTTAGGGATTTGTAGAATGTGTAAACTAAAAATTAATATCCTCTGTCAAATAGAATGGTGTATTATAGATCACAGTTAACATTTAGCTTAAAACAGCATTCTCCAATTTGTTCCTCTCTAGGTTAGTGGTGGACGGATGAGAGCATGCCTTGATATTTACTTTCTAAAATCCATCCGCACAATTCCTAATGACATGAAAGGCTTCTTCTCATACAGTTTGGTCCTAAGAATTCTGAGGAATAAGTGCAAAATACTCCCCCTGAGAAGTAACAAAAAGCATCTAACTAACTTTGGAAATACTTGGCAAGATTTGCTGAATTATTCAGCCTATAATACTTCAACACTGTACAATTTGCTCATCTAAGAAATCAGTTGCATCTTAAGAGTATTAGCATGAAACATTAGGATATAGGATCTTATTTTGAAGATCTAGTCTGTGTAAATTAATTATTTATCCAAGAGGCAGTGGGAATTGGGTTACATTTCCAGCTGTCAACATAATCTACTTAAGACAAACTCCCAGCAATCTCAGTGATGTAATTCCATGGACATGGGCATGACCTGATGCCACAACACTAGAGTTTCTCTTATATAAATGTCATTCTCCACTGTGAGTGGAATTGAAAGGAAAAAGCCTTCTCCTCTACAATACCACCGTTAACATAGGTCTCCTCCCATTACAAAATCTGGTTGGATTTACTTCAATAGGGCCAATCAGTCAGTATCCTCTATCTCATCAGAATGCAGAAGTCCAGTTTTAGGAGTGCAAGGCAAACGGCACATAAATTTGCCTTCCAAGCCACTTGAGGCAACTTCTTCACTCTGCCTAAGAATCCTTGACAGTATTTGGGGGAGGTGATTATATTCATAACCATCCCCGAGCTTAATAAAATTAAGTTTCTTCTCTGTCTTCTAAAAGTAACTGGTAAACATAGAAATTTTTCATCATTTTCTGTTGATCACCATGAAAAGAGAATTGTGGATTGGAAAGATTCTTGATTGGATCAAACACATTCTTCTTAATCAGTAAGGTAGCCACCATCCTGAAATATTAGGTGTGAAGATTACAGAAATGGCTTCTGCCCAGCATTTAAATAAGAGAAGGTGTAAGGTTATGTCTGTTCTGTCCAAAGAATAGGACATGCGCTGTTGTGGAGGAAGAAACAACAATATTGTGTCCAAATCACAAATTCAGTATAAGTGGAAGCTCTCAAATATCCGCATCATGCCCAAAGCAACAAAGTGATTCAATTCAGCTGGATCTGAGAAATTAATTAACTAGTAAGCTATAAATATTTTATTCAAGCTTAACTGATAACATAGGCATTTTGCTTGAATTTAAAACATGGATCACCTTCAACAGATCCAATGTTTTAGTCTTCAAATGTTTTAGTCTCCAAAATCTTGTTACGTTACTCTTTGCTCAAATTATTCCAAGTAAAAGGTCAACACAATTTAAGCTGAGTCCAGGAAATCAGTTGGTCTCTAGAATAACAAAAAAAAAAGAGCTAATGGAGGCATTCCAAGGCATCCACTATGAAACCAGACAGGATTTAAAATAGATTAGCAGTATTTATATTGCACAGAAGGATTTATACCCAGGTATAAGATTATAGAATTCTCCCAAAGCCAGTTATCCCTAACTGGTTATATAAATATGTTTTGAATCAGGAGAACTGGATAGAAGAGAATAATTCATATTTAGTATCTATTTGGCATGAACCATCAGTTAGTTTCTCTTGTATTTAAGGTAGCTAAATGTGAGAACAAGAAAGGAAAGTTTCTGCCATTCTTCATGTAAAGGATGACTTCCATTTCACAAGACAGCTATTTGATTATTGTGCTAAAGAAAATGAAACTGTATAATCTACTGTGCGCTTTGTACAATCTATTCAGAAAACCAACACAACTTACTATAGAATTTATATTCTAAAACAACTATGGAAATGTTCGACCCAGCTAGTCTAGGCAGCTTTTGTTCGGTCTCCAATCACCCCTTTCTAGGGAAGGTGATGGAAATAGTGGTGACAAGGCAGCTTCAGAGAACCCTGGATGAGAGTTCTTTCAGTCGGGGTTCAGACCTGGGTTTGGAACTGAGTTGGCATTGATCGCTCTCATGAATGACTTCTGGCGAGAGTGGGATTACTGGTAGTGCATACATCCTGGCTCTTCTCGACTTCTCAGTGGCGTTTGATATCATCGATCATGGTATCCTTCTGGGCAGGGCAGGCTCTGATCACTGGGGGTAGGCAACAGTGTACTGTGGTGCTTCCCCTTTCTCTGGGGATAGTTCCAGTCAGTGCTGATAGAGGGAGAGACATCCAGCCTGTGGACCCTACTTTGCGGAGTGCCTCGTAGTTCTGTTCTTTCTCCTATTTAACATTTACATGACACCTCTGGGTGAGGTGATCCATTGGTTTGGGGTGAGAAATCATCAATACACTGATGCTACCCAGCTTTTATATCTACCCTAGGCCCCTTAAGTCCCATGTCTGGCGACTGTTGGGGACTAGATGAGAAAAAATGGGCTCTAACTCAGCCTGAGCAAGACAGAGTGGCTCTGGGTATTTGAACACCCCAGAGACAAGGTCTTTCATCTTTGGTTCTGGATTGGTTGCACTGCCCTGGACAGACCTGGGGGTCTTCCTGGACTCACAGCTCCTGCTTGAAGAGCAGGTGGAAGCCATGGCTAGGAGGGCCCTTGCACACCTTCAGGTGGTGCACCAATTGTGCCCATACTTTGATCAGGAGGCACTGCTCATGCCCTTGTAACCTCTAGGTTAGACTACTGTAACACACTATACATGGGACTGCCATTCAGAAACTTCAATTGGTGCAGAATGCAGTGCAGAATGCATCTGTGCAGGTAATAAATGGTGCCAGATATATAGCATATGTAATGCCACTTTTGCGTGAACTGCGCAAAAGCCTAGATCACTTGGAACTGAGGGATTGCTTTTTTCCCACTGTCTCTATCTGTCCAACCAGATCGAGCAGAATGAAGAAGCTGCAGATCCCATCAGCCAGATGACAAACTTTTTTCTCAGTACATCCTCCCTTTGGAAGTTAGAATGGCCCCAACCCTGTTAGCCTTTCATAAGGCCCTAAAATCTGGCTATGTTCCTATGACTGTGTTAAGGACCCTGTTTCCTGGTATTGCTAACTGGACAAGTATCTTGCTCCCGTGTATATTTAATCTGGACATTTTTAACGAATTACTATTTTTATTGTTTTAAAATATTTTAGTATTTTTAATTGTAATGTATTTTTTGAATTGCAAGCCGCTCAGAGCCATTGACAGAAATGGGAGGCTACAGAAATTGAATAAATAAATAAAGTATGCTGATCTGGACTAAAGCTAAAGGTTCATAAGAAAGAGAAACAAAAGTGCCATTGAATCTCACAATTATTAGCAGAAAGGAAGTGTGTGTGTGTGTGTGTGTGTGTGTGTGTGTGTAAGTAAGTCACACATACAAATGCTATTAACAAAATGTCAGAGAACATTTACATTCAGCAAATTATCCTACTATCTCTTCCCACACACTTGTAGCTCAACTAGAAAACGCTTGACAGAAGTTCAAGAGCGTTTTCTATTATGCATAAGCCAGCTACAATTGGTAATCAAAGACAAACCAGCAGGAGAAAGTTGTTTTCTTCCTCTTGCTGCTTGTTGAAAACCCTGAAGCATTTTTATTATGGTTATTTAAATTAATTAACAGTCTCTGATGTAAGGCATACAGTTTGTGAAATTAACTGATCTCTCACAGACATGTATCAATCATTCTAATGCAACAAGCTGATGATTTTCTGGTTCCACTGTTTCCTATGACATAATCCTATGAATATCTGGCCAAATATATCTTCTGTAGTTCATAAGACTTAGTTATACATGGCTTTTCAGCTTTATCATTAAACAAATGGTTAGCATTCATAGTTGATTCAAGAAAAACACCAGAGAAAGCAGGTTTGAGAAACTTTTTCTGCTCTCTGGAATAGATGGAATATACTATCCATTGAAAATTTCCAGCTGCACACTTGATAAGACTTTACTGTGCATGACTAAAGATCATTGTAATATAAATTATAAAAGACCTTACTCCAGTGTATACAAATATTAGCAAAACAAGGGTAAGAAAAATGCTCTCTGGATTTTATAAGGATAAGAATACATTTATCTTCTCTGAAAAAAAATTCAATCAGTAAAAAGAGCCAAAAACACAAATCATCATTTGATCTTTCATATGCTGAATTCAGATATTATTTGCAGCTTGAAAAAAATGCTTCCTCACCATTACTGTCTGCTTACAGTGTAAGTTAGTGCTATGATAGATTTATCTAATCTATAACAATGAAATTAATGCCTCAGATGACTACAAATTGGAGGAATCACATCAAAAATGCAAGTGAACAAGCTGCCTTTCACATCAGGGAACATGTATGTACTTGTTCACTTACATACTCAGATAAGCATTCATGCTCATATGTGCTTAAAACGGCACACAGTATGGAGGCTCCTTTTTCTTTTCCAAAGTAATATGTGACCTAAGAAAAATCTTTTTCCCTTCCCCATTTTGTCTACAGAAATATCAGCCAATTAGGGACTGCTGGAGGTGGGGTTAGGAAGACTATCCTCTGACTGAAGGTAAGACAGTTTGGGAAATTCTGAAATCAACTAGACTCCAAATCTTGCAAAACATGTATCAAATCATAGTGATAACCTTCCTAGACTATCTTTCTCCAACCTATTGTCCTCCAAATGTATTAGAATACAATTCCCATCACAGCTATCCAGCAAGACAGCCATGCTTAACTGCATAATAGAAGTTAAATCCAACACTTCTGAAAGGTAACAGGTTGGAAATGGTTTTGAAAAAGACACATACCTTCATGTTTTAATGCTAATTTGGCATGGCCTACAGCTTCCCATGGAGATGGAATGTCCAGAAACACTGCATCTGCCACGTTGGTAACACCAAAGCCATTTTTGCAGACATCCTGGGTCTTGACTGTCACCAAATGCCCCACTTTGTGCTCTTCAAACTCCTCTATGGCTTTTTCAGCTCTTTGTTGGTGGAACTCTATTGTATACAGGTGCCCTGTTGGGGCAATTGTCCTGATGATGGCATGAGAGAGAGAAGCACTTCCAGTTCCTGGGAAGACAAAAAACAATCAAATATATTTGAAAAAAGCAAAATCAGGCAACTATTGCGAAAATCAAAGGCAGAGTTGCATGGATGCAAGTTGGAGAAAATTAACATAGTTAATGCGCTAAGATGGAAAGAGAAGTGATTCTAGACATTGTCTGTCTCATATGATTAGTGAGAGGCCACATTTTGCTAAAGAATAAGCTTTGCAAGCTTTCAGTTGCAACAACTATTTGTCACATATGGATCGGGTCTAAAAGGAAAGTCTGCCAGATACTGAATTAGGCAGGCAACTACATAATCACAAAAATTCAGTCCCACAACATATGGAAGATGTTCACTTGGGAATTCATAACTATGCCCAAATCAAAAATAATTGCCAAATAATTAACCTCTATTTGCATCCTTACAGGAAATGTAGTGATTATCCAATAACAGAATAGTCAGATAGGAAATTGATTCTTTGGTTAAAAAAATCCTCAAGGCATTCTGTCTCGCTTTCCCTTCAAGTTCTTATCTGGAAAATAAGATTCTCTCAGTAACTGAGCAAAGGCTACCCCTACTTGCCCAAAAGTAGGATAGCCTTCCAATGGTCAGGAGATCTCATTTCTTTCTCCAAATAATGTCTTCCCCTTGTTCTGAATTCCCTTTATCATGAATTACTAGCCATGTTGGCTTTAACTGATGCAAGTTGTAATCCAAAGAACTGAGAAAAGCCCAAATGGCAAAAGGCTGGGTCACTACCACCTTCTAAACTTCCTCCTCTCCACAATCACCTGTTCATAAAATCTTATTAACCTTTCTATCAAGCTTTTCTCTATTTTCTTCTTTCATACCTTTTATACACAAAAAGAGTGACCCCAATTCTTGATCTTCGAGATGGCAAATACCCAATCAAGTTTCTACGTTTTACTAAAATAAAAACATGCTTGATCGTCTATATTGGCAGTGCCCAAAAATTTCTAAAAAGGGATAAAATTCCTACAAAAACAATCAAAGATTTGAAACAAAAGCTTCAGATGTTTCATAGCAAAGAAAACAAGACGTGCAGCATTGTAAGGATGCATCTCACCTCTGATATATTTTAGAATAATGTACTGTATATTCTAATGTTTTCAAATTTGGCAATGTTAAGATCACACATAAGATAATACTGGCTGAGAAATTCTAGGAGTTGAAGTCCACAGATCTTAAAATTGCTAATTTTGAAAAATACGTGCCTATCCACTTTGTCAAAGACCTTGCCCAAATCTTCTTATCCAGTAACTTTTTGCAACATCTCACAGCATCTTGTCATACCTAAAACCCGATCTCTTGCCTGCATCACTTTTGCTGTAGCAGCGTGTCCACAAGTTCATTATCATTTTACCATAATCAGTGTTTCTCAATCTTGACAATTTTAAGGCATGTGGACTTCAACTCCCAGAATTCCACAGCCAGCATTGCTGGCTGTGGAATTCTGGGAGTTGAAGTCCACATGCCTTAAAATTCTCAAGGTTGAGAAACACTGCCATAGATCCTACTCTTTCTTTTGTACATAAAGACACCGGACCAAGAGCTCATAAGGCCAGCTGCTTTGCTGAGTCTCTTGCCAGAGGGCACAACTGTACTAGTAGGGAGCTATGCATCCCACTGAGCTAATGATTTCCCTGCCCCCACCTTGAGTTACCTTTGCCCTTGCTTTGGATCTCTTTGCATTCATCCCCAGAAGTAGCAGCAGGGATAGAAAGCCGAAAACAGCTGCTTAGTTTACAGGTCTCAGTTTTCCACACTGCAGTCTTTTACATTTTTAATCAACTGCCTTTTATGATCAGCTGTTGAGCCATAGAAGATATTGTCCTCATTTCCTTTCTAGAGCGCACACTAAACCTGGCTAATTGCCTGGCTCTTGAGATTAATCAAACCCCCGGTTTATGCCAAATCCGGAATCTGATGGTACTTTCTGGTTGATTTTATTTTTTTGCCAAGCACTTGTGGTTCTTGCCAACAGAACAATCCCCTGTGGTGGCAGGAAGCAATCTGCTAAATTATCATTAAAAATCTGCCTTGGAAATACATAACTGGGAGGGGGGAAGCAGAAGATGTTACTGTAGCTTAGACCCTAAAAAAGAACCAGGTTTTTTTTTCCAAAACAAAATTCTAGGAAGTCCAAAATTATTCATGGTTGCCAATCCTGTGCATCACACTTTCATAGACATGCTGTTCCTGAACATAGAGGTATTAACTCTACAGGTAGTTCTCGACTTACAACAGTTCATTTAGTGACCATTCAAAGTATAATGGCACTGAAAAAAGTGACTTATGGCCATTTTTCATACTTACGACTGTTGGAGCATCTCCATGGTCACATGATCAAAATTCAGACGCTTGGCAACTGTTTCTTATTTATGACGGATGCAATGTCCTGGAGACATTGTGGCTTTCCGACAAGCAAAGGGGAAACCAGATTCACTTAAAAAACTGTATTACTCACTTAACAATTGCAGTTTCACTTAACAATGGTGGCAAGGAAGGTCATAAAATGGGGTAAAATTCACTAAACAACTGTCTAGCTTAGCAACAGAAATTTTGGGCTCAATTGTGATCATAAATCAAAGACTACCTGTACTTAAATATCTACAGCAAAACAGGAATATAAACTGTTTTGGTTTCTTACTACCATCTTTAGAGATTCTGATCAATGGGACTGTTCAAACTAAAGTTCTCTCATGTTTGAGAACGAGAAAGATACAACCAGCAATGTGAATGAGCATTTATTTATTTAATTTATATGCCACCCATCTCACTATTAAGCGACTCTTTAACCAGCATATCATTGCTCTATCCCTCATATGTCTGTGTGGAGGGACAAAGTATTCACTTGAACAATCCTCCTTTCTGGCAGATGGTTCAGCCAAGTCTGGCACATCTTGCCAAGTCAAATTCCATTTTTGTCAAAAAAGACAAAGGCGACAACTAATCCAGCGTTTGTCAACTTTGGCAACATTAAGCTGTGTGGACTTCAACTCCCAGAATTCTCTATTCTGTTAAATGTTGCCAAGGTTGAGAAATCCTGATTGAATGAATGCCAATTCACGAACACATTTGCTGAAAGGTAATGGTCCTGCCAATTTTTAAAACCTTTTGAGAAACCTCAACCAAGCAAAACAAAAAAACTCACAAAACCATCCTGAGGTAAATCCAAGCAATCCTGTGGGAGATCTCTCTTGAGACAGATTCTACAAATATTCTAGCCTCCATTTGCTGAAATGCCCTCTCTGCCTTAATTGCTGCCTATTCTGCCACATTATAGATTCAATGAGCACATTTTCTTGGAAAAAATAAAGCAAAAGCCTGAAAAAAGGGCAACTCTGAAAGAGATTCATAAGGATTAAAAAAATATGTTTATAACTTTGCTTCACAAAGGAAAATTCAAGAGCAAAATCAAGGAAATAAATAATTAAACTGAATAAATTTAAAGGACAGATTACTGAAATAAAGATCTGACCTTCATAATGAAGGACATATGGTCACTGTATTTATAGAATACAAATAAGCATTTCAGTTTATCAAAGCACTATTAAAATCTCTTTTGGCATACTAAATGTAGAGATTAATAGGATAAATAGACGTGGAGCAAAACATCATATTGAATGCTAGGGAGTACAGCACAATGTTCCTGGGAATTGTTCTTTGATTATAGTGGTAGATAATATGGCTGACAGACAGAGCTAATAAAAGTACACATGACTGTGCACATGTGAGTTTGATAGTAGCATCAAACAGGATGCAAAAGAACAGAGAACGAATTTCAAAGAAAAAAAAGACTCAAGCATACTACTCATTCTTGATTTTCCAAGGTTTGGAGCAGTAACAACCAGGGTTAACCACAGAGTGTTTCTTAGGCAAGAAAAACCACTGTGTTAGGTACAGACTAGGTGAAACTTGGCTTGATGTCAGTAACTGTGAGAAGGATCTTGGAGTGCTAGTGGACAATCACTTAAATATGAGCCAACCGTGTGCAGCAGCAGCCAAAAAAGTCAATGCAATCCTAGGTTGCATTAATAGAGGGATAGAAGGGGCGTTGACTTACCTGAACGCCTTTTCCTAAACCTAATCCACCAATGGGTTAACTCAATCCTCCTGCCCAATCAGATCAAGTCAGCCAAACTTGCCACGCCTGTCCTGGACCAGTTGTCCCAGTCTCAACAAGGGTGAAGTTACTAACTGACAGCATGACGTGTTGGCTTACAGAACCTAACCCTAAGCCTAAGGACCTAAATGGGTGGGAGTGGATTATCCATCTCCGTGCTGAGAAAAGGCGTTCAGACAACGCCCCTTCTCCAGCGCAGGAGATGGATAATCCACCAACGGGACATACCAAAGCCCACTGTCCTTAAGGGAGGGAAGTGGGCAAGTTTGGAACAGTGTCACAGGGCACCACCTGTTGCAGAATCCTCCTGTCAAAGGAGGCCTCTGCGGATGCGTACCTGTCCAGTTTGTAATGTTGTATGAACGGCGAAGGCAAAGACCACATGGCCGCTCTACACACCTCCTCCATGGAAGCTTGAGTGGCCCAAGTCAGGGGCAAGGAATTGGACTGATACGCCCCCGCAATGCAAACTTTTATCCACCGGCCAATCGTGGAGGCTGAAACCTTTCAACCCTTGCAGGAAGGGTGGAACGAGACAAAGAGTGCCTCAGAGCTGCGGAAAGTGGCTGTCCACTTGATATAATGATGGAGAGCCCGGCGAACGTCCAAGGAATGCCATTGCCGTTCCAGATCATGGGAAGGATTAGGACAAAAATCTGGGAGAACGATATCCTGAGCCCTGTGAAATAGGGAATTAACCTTAGGATTGAAGGTGGGATCTAAGCGAAGGGTAACACGGTCCCAGTGAAAAATATATAAGTCATCCCTGACTGAAAGTGCTGCCATCTCAGAAATTTGCCGGGCCGAAGTGATGGCTACCAAGAAGGCGACCTTGGGAGATAAGGATCCCATGTCGCACAAACTGACGGGTTCG